ATTTATATGCACAGACACAGACAAAAACATTAGCTACTGGATGAATTAAAAGGTGGTGCTGCTGAATTTAATTTATTATCCACATGCATGCAGAGACGAAGTGTATTTGAAGGCTGTTGTTACTATAAATATATACAACATTATTGGCGGCAATTTTTGGAAGAATTGATGGTGGCCGACTGCTGAAATTGTATTATATATATCCACAGGAATTGAGGCAAAAAAACGTGGCTGCTTGAGGAATTAGAAAGAAGTTGTGGTGCTGAAATTGTTTCATACCTGTACACGAAAATTGAGGCGGTGGTTGCTACTTTGTTCCATCAGTGAGAGAAATTTTCATATCTTTGTTCAAGAGATCCAAGGTGAAATCAATTGGTGAATTCATCCATAACACCTTGTGATCCGTCAACAAATCTTTTGGGGAAAAACATCAATCTTGTGAAGACAAAACACTATGGTTCCTTAATCTTTTGAGGAACGGACTCTCTCATTGGGGGATTGAGAGAGGTGGACAACAAGCGCAGGACCTGGACAAGAATAGGAAGTTCTTGAAATTCCACTTGGTGATACAATCAGCTAAAGACCAGGAGGTTGTATTGGACAGCAAATTGGGCGGCAGGAGGTAGATTGGGAAGCTAGCAAGAGACTAGTAGTATCTACTGCAGTAGATCGTGAGACTGGAACAGCGGGTCTGACTGGGTAAGGAGTTTGGCAGAACTTGTACTTGATGGATTTGTATAGTGAAAACTACTGGCTTGGTCCCGGATTTTTACCCACATTGGGGTTTCTCTGTCATCAAACAACTATGTCCTTTATATTTCTGCAATTTACTTATTTCTGGTAATTCAACGTAGGATAGTAAATTATGTGAATTGACTTGGACATATTAATAATTGTGACTTGTTGCATTTATTAATTAATTTGTAAAATTCCGCATAAACACTTATTCACCTCCCTCCCCCCCCTCTAGGTGTTATTTGGGTCAAACTACGTTATTTCAATAATGATTGATGCTAATTCTAATACTACATTTTGCTTTATAATTACAGAAAGTTCCATTCATTTCTGAAAACTTGCAGTTGGAGTGCGAAGGGAAGGACGAATATAAGTGCGGTTCAAATGTGTTTTGGAAATGGTGAATACTGTAAAACCTTCATAACTTATAGGCAAGAATATTTTGAAAGGAGAATGTATAAACTAGTAACAAATTATAAAACAATGGACAAGAAAGATGTATTTCTATAATTAATATATCTTATCAAAGTTTCAGAATCCTGGACAACTGTTCTACAATGAACTATCACCAAGAATTGCAGAGCCTTTCTAAGCGGAAAGGTTACCTTTTAGTATATTTCAACTCTATTTCAATTTGGGTTGCTCCAACAGAAGTATTCTTGAAAAAAATACTTGTACAGTAGTGTAAAAACACGGGACCATACCAATGTGAAAGCCAGTTGGAAATTTCCATCTTATAGGCCTTTGATGAGCCCCAAATTTCCTTTTTTTTTTTTTTTGATCGGTAAATATAAAGTTTTATAGATCGAAACTCATATACGAGTACTCAGGGCATACCCGGGCTAAACAAGAACAAAAAATGTATTAACGATAAGATCTAAAGACCTAATGCTAGAGACTCAAAATGAATCAAAACATGAGGATACAATAAGAACATGACTTTGTATATATGTCTTTTGATCTGTCTCACTATGCTATGAATGTGTGGTCTAAGATCGTCAAAAATCTTCCTATTTCTCACCATCCAGATGTAGTAAACGGTGCAAGCGAGTGCAATTCTCTTAGCTTTGCTTTGCCAAGATGTCCCTCGAGCTTCCTTTTTAATCCACTTCAAAGCACTAGCTAGTGTAGACATGGATCGTCTCATTCCCAGCCACTTTCGGATCTGTCCCCATGTTTTGTTGCTGAACGAGCATTCAAAAAATAGGTTCTTACCAGATTCTTCCTTAAATCCACAGAAAACACAGCTTCGATCTATTTCCAAATGTTGTGATTTATCTTTGGTAAGTAGCCTAGATTAGGCACTTAGCCAAAGAATGAATGAATGTTTCGGTGTGATACAAGGCTTCTAAACATCTGCTGCCCAGCTTTTGTTAATTCCCTTTGGCTGAAAATACTCATATGACTTGGACATAATCAGGTTGCCCTCAGTACTCCACTCCGCCAATCATTGGATGGTAGCCTGCACACTGCCCTCTTTTTGGATAAACAATCCCCGAATTGTCGACAACTTCTTCATTAATGGAGAGTTATCATTTTTAGGCATCCACTCCCAAATGGTTCCGCCTCTCAAGTATACATGATTGACCCAACATACCCAAAGAGTGTCTTTCTTGTCTTGAATATTCCAAAGTACCTTGGTTAGCAAAGCATTATTCTAGCACTTTATGTCTTGAAATCCCAATCCTCCCTCACTTTTAGGGAGACAAACATCCACCCAAGAAACTAGCGATTTTTTAGAGTTCCAAAGAAAATTCCTGCAAAGCCGAATAATTCTTGACGTCACTGTTGCCGGAATTGGAAATATAGATAACCAAAAGCATTCAACTCCTTGTGAGACTGCCCTAACCAATTCGGCCCTCCCAGCATAAGACAATGATGCATATGTCCATGTATTAATGTATGCTACAATCTTGCCCAAGAACGGCGCATAGTGATTAACTCTCAACTTTTGTGCTGCAAGTGGAATCCCCAAATATCGAAACGACATTGTACCCTTCGGCATGCCCACAACCTCCTGAATTTCATCCAAATCTATCCCTTGAATACAAGCCGTGTAGAGATTTGATTTGTTCAAGTTCACTCTCAATCCGAAGCAATCACTGAACTTGGACAGGTATTGCATCAATATGCGCACCGATATAGCATCACCTCTAGCAAACAACATCAAATCATCCGCAAATGCCAAGTGCGTGATTTTCAAAAACCCACATTTTGGATGGTAATTAAAATCACTATAGGTAGTATCCGCTTTCAATGATCTTGATAGATATTCAAGACAAATCACCAATAGAAATGGCGATAGAGGGTCTCCTTGCCTTAATCCTCTTTTGCCCTTAATGAAACCATGCAAGCAACCATTAAGTGCAATAGAATATGAAGGGGAAGAGATACATACCATCACCCACCTAATGAATCTCGCCGAAAATCCCGTTCCCTCCAGAACCGATTTCAAGAAGCTCCATTCAATAGAGTCATATGCCTTTCGAAGATCTATTTTAAGTATGCATCTCGGTAAAACTCTCTTCCTATAATATTGTCTCAATAATTCTTGATCAAGGTGGACATTTTCTATCAAACTCCTACCTTTCACAAATGCAGTTGATCGATAATAGTCCCCAATACTAGTGCCAATCTATTAGAGAGGACCTTAGTAATGACCTTATTAGTGACATTGCAACATGAGATAGGTCTATAATCACCAACAGTGGCATGCATGACTACCTTTAGGAATTAAGGCAACGGTGCTGTGATTAATTTCTTTAAGAAGCGAGCTAGATTCAAAAAATTCAGTTATAGCCTCCACAAAATCATCCCAGCCTCCACAAAATCATCCCCAACTGTACTCCATGCTTTCTTGAAAAAACATGATGTGTAGCCGTCCGGACCCAGTGATTTATCCTCTCCAATATCAAACAAGGCTGTCTTTATTTCTTGTGTGGTGATATCCATGCCAAGAGCATTTGCATGCTCCAATGAGAGTAGTGGCCCCTCACCGAAAATTTTAGGATCAATGGATTCACAAGCATTACTCGTTCCCAGCAAATTTTGATAGAATCCAACAAATTCATCAACCACTTGTTCTTGTGAGGTCATGGGGTGCCCATCATCTTTAATGACTGTCGCAATGAAATTTCTTTTTCCATTCCTCTTTACCATGAAGTGGAAGAATTTCGTACATTTATCACTCTTTTTCAAGTAGGCACATTTTGCTTGTTGGTAGAAAAAACTTCTTTCCGCTTCACAAATATCCATTGCTTTTTTCCGTAACTGTGTGACTTTACTTTGCAAATCTATATTACTGGCTTGATCATGAAGCTCCATTTGGGCAGCCTGCAATTCATTCTTAGCCCTCTCAGCCTTGTTGGCAATGTGTGCGAATTCTCTTTGGTTGAGCTGCTTTAAGACTTCCTTCAACCTATGTAACTTTTTGCACAAAATAAACTGTTTAGTACCATGAATGTACTTATTCCAACTAGCTGTAACCTGATTTTGAAAATCTGAGTGTTCTGCCCACATGTTGAAGAATTTGAAGTGTTTCCATTTAATCCCATCTAGCTGGAAGATTGTCACAATACAAGGAGAATGATCCGGCAAACACCCCGATGGCTGAAAATCAGCTAGGGCATGAAAACCCGCTTGCAACAACAACTCATTTACCATGGCTCTATCAATCTTGCTCCACACCGAAAGTATGCTCCCCTATGAATTCTTAGTCCATGTATAAAAGCAACCCATGGACCTCAAATCCGAAAGACCCGCATTCAAGCAGCAATCCGCAAAGTCTTTAATTTCATATGGAGTGACATCCGCTCCATTGCATTTTTTATCATATCGTAGGACATTGTTAAAATCTCCCATGAACCAAGGACTTGAGCAATCCGCTCCAAAATCCAATAAATTGTTCCAACGAGGCCTTCGAGTAACAATAGAATGAAATGCATAAATGAAACTAATACAAGTAGAGATGGATGTTACCTTGCAAGTCACATTGCAATGTATCACTTTTGGTGTTGCATCCAAATTTGTAAATCAACCTTCAACGGGTTCCATAAAACCAAGATTCTTCCAGCCGGATGTAGGAGAAAATTGTCCACTTGTCTCCATCCGCCAAATTTTTTTTATCATGATCCGTGTTAACTTTGCTTGATTGAGTTTTGTCTCCAGCACTCCAAAAACATCAATGTTGTGTTTCTTTATGAGGTGTTGAACCCCATTTTGTTTCAGGGGCTTATTGAAGCCCCTGATATTCCAAAATGCTGCCTTCATGATGATATGCGAAGGACGTTGCCCTTCGTTTTATCCTTTTTAGCTACTGCAAGATGTGACTCGTCTAATTTCCCTTTGAGTTTCTCGTTCGAGGCTGCCTTTAACCCATTCAATGGCCGTGTTTCCTGCCTTGCATTTTTCTGCCTTTTCTGGTTATTTCGGTTCTTATTCCTGTCCACTACATTAAACTGGTTTTGCACCTCATCATCTTGTTCCCTTTGCTGTGTTTCACTGTTTTCCCCAGACTTCCTCATTCCAGTTTTGTCAGCACCAATGTCTGAACCATTCTGATCAGCTGGATTTGATTGTGCTGTTGGTTCCTTAGTGTTGCCTGAAACCTGACCTATTTTTGTACCAACCTGTTTGCTTCCTGATTCTACCCCTTTGCCATCTGCATGCTGTCTATTAACATTGCATCCCAAAGTTGGATGTCCAAACATTTTACATGTATTGCAATACTTTGGAACGTGCTCAAAGTAAACTCCCTGTTCCCTCAATTTTCCATTTGGTAACATCATATGAACTGTCCTTACTAGCTCCTTGGATACATCAACTTCGACTAAAACCCTCACGTATGAAATTCTGTCCATAGTTGAAGTGAGTTTGTCGGTTGATATCGGCTTTCCCACTTTTGATACAATCTTGCTTAGCGCCTTCGACTTCCAACATTCAAGTGGTAACCCAGGTAGATTAATCCAAATTGGTACGGTGCTGATTTCTTTGTCATCAAACTCAAAAAATTGGGGCATAATCTTCAACATAAGCGGCCTGCCAAAGACAAAGTATGGCCTCCCCTCGAGCACATTAAGTCTATCTTCCGCATTCTCGAACTTAAAAATTAACCAGCCACTTGTATGGACAGAGTACTTGTAATTTACCTTCCACGAATTGCATAGCTGCAAAAGTGCTGTTTTGCCCGGAAAACGACCAGCAACATAGCCAACCAAACTAAACCCCCAGGCATCTTCGACTTCATGCACATCATCCTCCTCCAAAGCCACAATTTCGGGGAGATCATCGATAGTTTGGAGTTTCGTGCCTTCATCAGGTTTCCTATTATCTTTAAAGAGATTTACCCAAGGAGCTTTCACCGGGACTGTCTCTTTTACTTGGCTATCTTTGGGTGTTTGGGGTTCCCCATTTGAATCTTTCGAGACCATGTCTTCGGCACCAAGTGTTTGAGAAACACTTGGTCAATCTGCACATAGTTCTTCCCAGAATGCTGATGATTGGATTGCATCCTTTTTCATACCTGGGACAACAGGCTTCAACTTTAGCACGCTAGTTTGGCTTGTTTTCTTCTTACCCATAGTTGCTGGAATGAAGAGACCAGCTAGAAAGCAGTTAGACTGCCCGAAAGGAAAAAAGAAGTCAAAGTATAGATACAAAATATGTCTACAGGAGAGAGGAAGCACTACTGATCTTTTTCCCAGAATGGAAGTAGTCAAATGTCTGAAAACCTGGGACAAACTGCAGTATCCAAACTAGTGCTATAATTCAAATTTCAAACATCCAGATTTGAATTTAATACCCGATTTAGAAACCACTTTACCATGCATACATACAGATACATACAAATACTGTGAGCATAATAAGGATAGATTGGATTGCATCCTTTTTCATACCTCGGACAACAGGCTTCAACTTTAGCACGCTAGTTTGGCTTGTTTTCTTCTTACCCATAGTTGCTGGAATGAAGAGACCAGCTAGAAAGCAGTTAGACTGCCCGAAAGGAAAAAAGAAGTCAAAGTATAGATACAAAATATGTCTACAGGAGAGAGGAAGCACTACTGATCTTTTTCCCAGAATGGAAGTAGTCAAATGTCTGAAAACCTGGGACAAACTGCAGTATCCAAACTAGTGCTATAATTCAAATTTCAAACATCCAGATTTGAATTTAATACCCGATTTAGAAACCACTTTACCATGCATACATACAGATACATACAAATACTGTGAGCATAATAAGGATGAATCAATGGTTGAAACCAGGATGAACTAGCCGGACACACCCAATACTGCTTTGAATCTGGACGAACAGCAAGACAACCGAACCAACTGCCTTGACTTGCCGAACACACCAGGACCAGCTTTGCATTTGTACAAGCCTGCCTTGAACCTGAATGGTGGAACACTAGAACTGAAAACACAGTTCGAACATCAACAAAATCTAATTTAACTTTGAACACCGCCAAGAGAACTAAAACTGAAGTTTGAATGTCTCTAATATGTAAGCAAAATCCAAACAAGAACAAGAAAACTCTAGATGCAAGTGGGCAACCAAGTAAGATTTTCTCTCACTAGGCTTGAGAGTTTCTCACTCTAACACACTTACTCCCAAATTTCCCTTTTTTTTTCTTTTTCTTTTTTTTTTTTTGATACCCAGGTTTCCTAGCTTTGCCAGACTATATCCTGGACCCCCAGCCCCCGGCCCCTCAGTGACTGATGGAGGTAAATCGCGGTATATGCCCAAGTTGACCAGGGTTCGAACAGCCTTTATACTCCTGGCCCCAAGGGACCCTCTTCCATAGTTATTACATCACCAAACTGCTCCAACCAAGATGGTTATTACAAACACTCAGCTGCTCCAACCAGAAATCGAACTCCCCACACTGGGATTGCGAGCCCCGCACTGCCCTTCCTTTGCCAACTTGGATGTGCCCCGAGGGGCACTTACTCCCAAATTTCCTTTATACGCAGGATGGTTGCATATGGACAAAGCAAAACCATTCGTTCTTATCATGTGTTGTGCAACCACAATAAAATTAGTATATGCTATAATACCACAAATTTATAAGCCATCATAAAAAGAACTTAAGATAATGGACACCATGAGGAGCCATTTTTCTGTAAACATGGCACTAGGTACACCCCTTCACTCAACCCGAGACACTCACAGTTCCAAATTATTGATGGTGATAAACCTTGTAACATATTTCATGCAAATATCCTCAAATGGTGCAACTTCTATACCCTGTAGCAAGGGACCTTTTCTTGAATCCACAATAACCACATCAATTATAGAAATCCCTTTCACTTTTGGTAAGGCTCTAGGATCAAATTTCTCATCGGGATGGTCACTTGCACCTCTACTAAACCTTATGGGAACCTTGACTCTCTCCATTGTTATGTTAAGCATAGTGACATTCCTTTCATACCCTCCTCTTCCCTTGTCAGTTTTTATTCGCATCCCAGCTGCTGAATCTCTTACATATAAATCCTCTGCAACGACATTCTAATTTCATCAGACATTTTGCTACCAATTCCAAGACCTGAACACATCGGAGTCGTACCTGAAATTCTCCTTATAGTAACGTCTACACTCGGACGTGATATGGCAAATTGGCAATACCATATTGCACTGATTAACAGTTTTCCCAGGTATAGCAGCTGCAACTTGTTCCCACCGTTGGTTAGTGTCCTATGGGAAGGTTTTCAGAGCTTGGACCAAAGCTTTTTCCTGAATGTCAGATCATATATTTTCATCAGTATTTGAAAATGTTTCTTTTGCTATATTATTGTTGTCGAGTTTTGGTAGCTTTCCCTCTGGTTGGATGACTCCAGAAAATTATCAGATTGAGCAGTATTTTTCACCGGCACAGTGCTATTCCTCAAGTTCTCTTTCATCAATGTAAACTTCTTACATTGGCAGATTAGCTTACAGTTTTCCCATGAACTTTAGCTAACACTTGATAAGTGTATTTTGTACACTTATTCAGACCAGTAAATTGGAGTATTTGTGAATGATTTAAACGAGTTATAGCTTAATTATGTGTTAACTATATTTGTTAGGTTGAACTCAGCGTAAATTGGTGGAATTTGAAGAAATGAACGAAAAATGGGCAAAAATGAAAGAAATTCGAAGTGTGGGGACCAAAGTGTAAACATTCAATAGTTGATTCGGACCATATAATGATGATTGAAGATCATATAGGATCATTGCATGCAATTGGAGATCAAACGAGTGAAATAGATGTAAACATTCAATAGTTGATTCGGACCATAAAATGATGATTGAAGATCATATAGGATCAATTGGATGCAATTGGAGATCAAACGAGTGAAATAGAGTTGAAGTATTTTTACAAATCAATTTCCTATGGGAGAAGTTATGCTCAGAATTTTTAACCTCAAATTTAGACCCATTTTTCGTATAGCAAACATTAGAATTGGAAAAACTATAATTTCTAAAAGAATTTTAGCTTTTTGAGTTAGCTTTCTTGTAATGTATTAGTTTAATTAAAAGAAAAGCCAAAAAACAAAAAAAAGGAGGAAAACAGTGGCTTAGGCAGTGGATATATATATATATATATCCACCAAACTCAAAACATATCCATTTCAATGTACACAAACACACACTACACACCAAGAAGCCGAGAGCAAAGAGAAAGCGAAAGAAAAAGGAAAAGAGGAAAAAAAAAATAAAAAGAAGAGGAAGGATAAAGATAATAAAAAAAATAGAAAATTTTTTTCCAACATGTTAGAAAATAAGTTCTTCCACTATTAGGCATGAATTCTTCAAAGTTAAAAGTAAGTAAAAAGTTACTTATTGTCAAGTTATGTTTAATTTTATAGTTGTTCAATTGTTATATTAAATTCAATTTTATTGAAGGGGTTAAGTATAATAAACTATGAAATTGAGTAAAATAAAAGAAAAATTAGTTTTAGTGATTAAAGAGACTTTAAAAATCGCTTGAACGTGAAATGATTAAATTTGAATATCGCATATTTGATTATTGAAGTTACTTTAAATAATTAATTGTTGATTTAAAAATTATATCATATTTCAGGCTGCGATACGGATATCGAAATATCTTATCAACCAAGATGATTTTGGAGTACGTAGTTCTGTGAGTGAAAAATATAAATATTTTTAAAGTATTTATAAATTAAGTAAATTGTTAAGGTATGTCTTCTCGGTGTAGACGTCTTGTAAAGAAGAACATTACCCTTATATATTTAATATTATATATATTTCATAACCTAACTTTTCAATATCTAAACCTTTGTTCTTAAATTTGAAATGGTGTAAAGGACGGGAATGTGTATTGTTCCCTGTAAAATCTAACAGGCAACAGATGAAAAGGTAAACTCCAAATGAAGATAACTTGTCATTTACAGACAATTGTTTTCCTCTTATATTTTATACACTTACAAGAACCCAAGAGATTACATGTTGAATAAACACGTGATATATGCATGGAGAATTTTCTGTTGGAAATCTACTTAAAATGCGCAGTGAAAAATTAAAATAATTCTCGATTTCCACCAAGAATCGCTTTTGTATTTAGATAGAAATTGTGATAAAAATGTACCTTTACAAGATCTGCAAACTTCTTTACCATATCTTTGTTCTAGCAAGTTGGATCTGTCTCCCACAACTGTCCAATTGTCTAGCCTCCAACGGTGATCCACAGCAAAAAAAAAAGGATTGCAGCATTAGGGTTTTTTCTTGTGCTAGTAAGAATAATGAAAATCTCAAAAATTTTGAAAACTATAATCACATTTATATAAGCCCGAACGGGCTTGACCTGACCCGGTCCAACATTTAATTAACCCATTTAATTAAATCCGGTCCGTGAACTAATTAATCCAATTAATTAATTTGGGCATATAAATATGCAACCCAATTAATTAATTTATCCAACGCTTGTTAAATTAATTAATTAATAAATTACAATCTTCCAATTCTCCTTTTGTGTGCGACCCATCAGGTTCCCAATCATTATGCCTAACGACGTGAAATATTGTTTTGATCTAATCAAAATTGATAAATTAAAATACCCTTTTAATTTATCACCAATTTACACTCGCCGTCCCAAATTGATATCTAGCAATGTGTCAGGGTAATACATATGACGAGAAATGTCACGTGGTATGACAAAACCAAACTCGTTCGCTTACCGTGAAACTATAATCCCTTCGTCAATATGATCCGATCAATTACAAAATACGAAAGTGTGTCAATCTCGATTATTGATCATATCTTTCACTTCACTATTAAGTCAATATAAGTCGAAAATTTCTTTTCGACTTATGAGTACACCTTGGCCAAGGATTTCATCATCGACTTAATTGAATGAAATGCAGATCATAATCTCCTACTATCTAAGAGTGACGAATCCTTTATTGGTCAATCATAACCTTTATACGATTCTTG